TTTCATTCTCTCCCACTCAGCTACCCTCCTCTTAGTTTGCAAAATGGTCAAGGTGGAACCCTGGGTCAGTTAGCCAAGCATGGAGACGGAAGAAGGACCTGGACACACGAGCGTGGTTCACAGGGAGCTGGCCCTCAGTGGGTGGGGTGGCTGCCTCCCCCAGTCCCAGCGTCCCGGCCCTCAGCCCCCCACAGGGACTGCACATGGAGCACTGTTCACTCCGGGTGCAGAGTGACCCCAGGGTGTTTCCTCGGCCCTGGGGTCCCCCGGAGCCTGGTGGGAAGTCACCAGGTGTAATCTCCGGGGGGGGGGGGGGCGCCAGCACCCAGTGCTGTCAGCTCCCTGAGCAGAGATGGGACCTGACCACAGCTGACGACCTAAGCAAAGGGCAGAACCAATGTTACCAGCCACTGTCTTTCTGCTCAAAGAATTTCAGGCAGCAGTTCACACATTTCCCCAAACATCAGGTAATTCCCTCATATTTGCAACGGGAAAGTTTTACAAGAGGGGGGTTGTCTTCAGCCTACTTGAGCGTATAAAAGAGATTTGAATGTTTGCGCTGTGGGGAAAAACACATGACACGTGATTACCATCTCAGCCATTGCTCAGTGCACAGCCCTGTGGTGGGCACCACGATCATCTCCCGAACGTCCTCGTCTTCCCGAACTGAAACTGTCCCCATTACCCTCCAGCCCCCTCGCCCTCTCCCAGCTCCGGGGAGTCACTGTTTTCCTTTCTGTCTGTTAAGAGTTGACTCCTTAGGCACTGCACGCACATGGAATCATACCATAGCTGTCCTTTTGTGTCTGGCTGATTTCACTTCGCAGGATGTCCTCCAGGTTCCTCCACCTTGTGGCCTGTGTCACGAATTCCTTCCACTTTAAGGCTGAGAAGTGTGGCAGTGTGTGGACCTATTCATCTGTTGATGACATTTGGGCTGTTTCCATCTTTTTTCTTATCTAGACCTTTCTCTTTTGGCACACAGACCCAACCATGCCCAGAGACTATTCTCTCCCACAAAACCAAGGTGTAGCTGGGGCCCAGCTGAGATCTGATACGAGGTCTCATAAATGCCTGGAGCAAGGCTGGTAGAGAGGAGCTCACCCGGAGCTGAGGGCTGGCCCGGGGCCCACAGCCCGCAGACAAATCCAGGCTGTTTGTAAATATCGCTAACATGCTTGTACGACTAAGTGGACAGGATCCAGGTGAGACCAGAGGATGAAGTGGGGGTGGAGGCCACACAGCTGGTGACAGGAGCTGAGTGCAGAGAGCAGGGTGGAGGGACGGAGAACGGCAGTCCCCCCCAGATGTGCACTTGTATTCCGTCCTCCCACCTCCACTCATCCTCTGCAGGTGTGAGACGTAACCTGTCTCGGGTGTGCACATCCCCACAGTGCAGCAAGCACACGATCCTTTGCCTGTAGTCCAGAGTCTGGAGCAGAGGAGACTTTAAACCTCGACACCCAGTGGAATCAGCGCCCTGTGGTGGCACATGCAGGAGACTGTGGGAACACTCTGGCACACGGCCCAGACTGGGACTTTGGAGATGGTCTCCAGAGCTAGTGCCTAAGCTGAAGCCTCAAAGATACAAGGAAGTTCCAGAGAGAGGCCTGGGGAAGCTCTCATCCAGCAGACAGCTGCGCGTGTGCTCCGGCCACCTCCATGTCCCCCGCCCACCTCCATGTCCCCTGCCCACCGGGTGGGAGCCAGCCAGGACTGCTTTCAGAAATCACCACTCACCACCTTACCAAATCTTGTCTCCATGTGGCCCTCAGAGCCCCTGACCTTCCCGCAACTATTGACACCGTCACCTCTTGCTATGACCTCCTTTGTCTGCTTTCCTGTCTCTTTCCTCCCCTGCCACTGAGGGTGGGTGTTTGAGTGTCCTCTGGGCTGTGCTTTCCCATCTGGCTCACCACCACCTGTCCGTCTTCCACAATCACTTCACCATTTCCGTCTCCTGCCCTGGCCTCCCACACCAGCACCATGATTTCAACTCGTAGACGTGCCATCTAACCCAGCACCTCTTCAGACCTGCCCCGCACCTCACCGCCCTCCCTCCCCCCGTGGCTGTACCTCTGCAGCCCTCCAGCTTTGTCCCTTCCTCTCCCAGGACAGTGGTTGGGGTCACATCCACCCTTGCCTGTGAGTGAGTCCTGCTTTCCCCACCGGCCTCCACGCTGTCCCTGACCACCCGGGAGTCCCCACCCGTAGCCAGGCCAAGTAGGAGACTGAGGGGCGCTGAGCCTGGCCAGCACCCTAGTGCAGGACATCCCCTGGCTACAGTGCACAGCCTCTAGTGATGGACATCCCCTGGCTACAGTGCACAGCCTCTAGTGATGGACATCCCCTGGTGACGGTGCACAGCCTCTAGTGATGGACATCCCCTGCCTACGATGTACAGCCTCTAGTGATGGACATCCCCTGGCTACAGTGCACAGCCTCTAGTGATGGACATCCCCTGGCTACAGTGCACAGCCTCTAGTGATGGACATCCCCTGGCTACAGTGCACAGCCTCTAGTGATGGACATCCCCTGGCGACGGTGCACAGCCTCTAGTGATGGACATCCCCTGGCGACGGTGCACAGCCTCTAGTGATGGACATCCCCTGGCTACAGTGCACAGCCTCTAGTGATGGACATCCCCTGGCTACAGTGCACAGCCTCTAGTGATGGACATCCCCTGGTGACGGTGCACAGCCTCTAGTGATGGACATCCCCTGGCGAAGGTGCACAGCCTCTAGTGATGGACATCCCCTGGTGACGGTGCACAGCCTCTAGTGATGGACATCCACTGGCTACGATGCACAGCCTCTAGTGATGGACATCCCCTGGCTACAGTGCACAGCCTCTAGTGATGGACATCCCCTGGCTACAGTGCACAGCCTCTAGTGATGGACATCCCCTGGCTACAGTGCACAGCCTCTAGTGATGGACATCCCCTGGCTACAGTGCACAGCCTCTAGTGATGGACATCCCCTGGTGACGGTGCACAGCCTCTAGTGATGGACATCCACTGGCTACGATGCACAGCCTCTAGTGATGGACATCCCCTGGCGACGGTGTACAGCCTCTAGTGATGGACATCCCCTGGCGACGGGGCACAGCCTCTAGTGATGGACATCCCCTGGCGACGGTGCACAGCCTCTAGTGATGGACATCCCCTGGCGACGGGGCACAGCCTCTAGTGATGGACATCCACTGGCTACGATGCACAGCCTCTAGTGATGGACATCCCCTGGTGACGGTGCACAGCCTCTAGTGATGGACATCCCCTGCCTACGATGTACAGCCACTAGTGATGGACATCCCCTGGCTATGATGCACAGCCTCTACTGATGGACATCCCCTGGCGGCGGTGCACAGCCTCTACTGATGGACATCCCCTGGCTACAGTGCACAGCCTCTACTGATGGACATCCCCTGGCGGCGGTGCACAGCCTCTACTGATGGACATCCCCTGGCTACAGTGCACAGCCTCTACTGATGGACATCCCCTGGCGAAGGTGCACAGCCTCTACTGATGGACATCCCCTGGCTACGATGTATAGCCTCTACTGATGGACATCCCCTGGCTACGATGTATAGCCTCTACTGATGGACATCCCCTGGCTACGATGTATAGCCTCTAGTGATGGACATCCCCTGGCTATGATGCACAGCCTCTACTGATGGACATCCCCTGGCGGCGGTGCACAGCCTCTACTGATGGTCATCCCCTGGCTACGATGTACAGCCTCTACTGATGGTCATCCCCTGGCTACGATGTACAGCCTCTACTGATGGACATCCCCTGGCGACGGTGCACAGCCTCTAGTGATGAACATCCCCTGCCTACGATGTACAGCCTCTAATGATGGACATCCCCTGGCTACGGTGCACAGCCCAGCTCCTGGCACAGGCTTGTAGGTCTCAGTCTGGAGACCAGCGCTGGGCTTTGACGTGCCCAAGGTTGTGCAGCATCTGGAGGAAAACCCGGCTTTTGACCCAACTCTAGAGTTCTTCTCGATCCTGTGGGCAGAGGAGTTGGTTAGCTGCTGATGGGGGTTTGAGGTGTAGACAGATGGAATTACCATGAGCAGACAGACGGGGCTGCTCTGCTGAGTCCTTGTGCAAACACCGCACACACCCCAGGACCGAGCCTCCCCTCCACGGGTGGGTCCTGTGGCCTGGCCTTGACTGTGAATAGAGCCCTGTCATGTGGGCAGAGACACAGCTACCTCTTTTGGATGCTGCTTTTTTATATATATATTTTTTTTTTAAATCCTCACCCGAGGGTATTTTTCTATTTATCTTCAGACAGAATGGGAGGGAAAAAGAGAGAGAGAGAGAAACGTTGATGTGAGAGAGACACATCAACTAGTTGCCTCCCATATGACCCCGACCAGGGCCGGGGACCAGACTGCAACCAAGGTACATGCCCTTGACCAGAATCAAACCTGCGACTCTGGTCCACGGCCGATACTCTAACTGCTGAGCCAAACTGGCCAGGGCAGGGTGCTGCTTTTTTAAAAAACAGTTTCTCTCTGTTGCTTTGTAATGTATACTTAAAAAGTATGAGACATAAAGGAAAAAATTGTAACCTGGACTGACATACAAGCCCACCAAGAAGTACATGAGAAACAAAATAAGGAAAATAATCCATAAAGTGAAAGAAAAATAAAACAATAGCACATTGTTGCATGTACTGATACATTAAAAAAAAAAAAAAAACTAGGAAAAGTAATTCATTTGACAAACCTTTGCTGAGTGTGTCTGTGGGCCGGGCAGTTCTGGGCTCTGAGGACCCAGCCCAGGGAGCAAACAGACAAAAGCCCCAGGCTTCCCAGAGCCTATGTTGTGGGTGAGACACGGAGTTCACGGCCCATCAAAATATCATTCTCAAGATCCATCACCCCCACCCCCAGGTTTTGGTGGAAATCTGACTAAATTGGAAAATTGATAGTATCTCCATTCATACGTGGGTATGATTTTAGTGACGGTCGCTTCTTGGTTTCCAGGGAGAAGAAAACGGCTTTGCGGACAGTGCTGGAGACCCCCTTGCAGGTAACGATCAGCTCTAACAGTGGCTTCAGCGAGAGCTAGAGCGGCTGCATTGAGATAATTTCAGACTATGTTTATTATTAACTTTAAAAATCTGTTACAGAGAGGGACTTTCCAACTATATGGCTTCAAAGAGTATTCTCTCTGAGTTAACCCTGCATTGCTTGTGAGGGTCTCGGTGGGGTTCTCAGTTGAACAGGTTTAAGGTTGGGCAGTGGTCACCCCAAGCACGTAGGAACACCCAGTTTGTTATCTCAGGTATATCAAGGTACACACTGAGTCACACTGGGCCCCGAGCTGCACAAACACAGTGCAAGCCTAATTCCTTGAGATTGTGGGAGAGGTCGAGTCTCTGACTCAAGACCTCCAGGCTCTGTGGACTGTCAGACACTTAGCCGGCTCCCAACAATCCCCCCACTTTGTTAGTGTAAAACAGAAATTTTAGCGATGTTTGGATTTCGTATTAATCTTGGGGGGAAATATGAAGTGAACATTAAAATAAGCTATTGAAATAGTAATGAAAACACTTTAAACCTCACCATTTTCTGTATCTTTAAAATAACATATTGAGCCCTGGCCAGTTTGGCTCAGTGGTTGGAGCATCAGACCACAGACCAGTGAGTAGCGAGTTCGATTTCGGCCAAGGGCACATACCTCTGTTACAGTTCGGTCCTCAGCCCCGGGTGGGGTCGTGCGGGAGGCAACCAGTCGATGTGTCCCTCTCATGTTAATGCTTCTCTCTGTCTCTCTCCCTTCTCTCCCCCTCTCTCTCCTTCCCTCCCACTCTGTCTGAAGATAGATAGAAAAATGTCCTCAGGTGAGAATTGAAAAAAAAAAAACACACATATTGAATGACCTGTCAGGGCTTTGTTTCTTTCTTTCTGAAGTGGGGTGGGGTACCCATAAAACCCTCAGGACAATCTGTCACGAGTCCCAGACTGTGCCCAGGAAACTGCTGAACATCAGACGTACAGTGCATTGTCGACTGTTTTCCCTTGGGAATGTGATGTTGGGTCAGGGTGGCGAGATTCTAGGTGATTTTTTTTTTAATTGAACTGATTTTTTTTTTTATCCTCACCCGAGGACATTTTTTTTTCCATTTTTTGTTTAGATAGAGTGGGAGGGAGAGAGAGAGAGAAACATTGACGTGAAAGGGACACATCAAGTGGCTGCCACCCGCACGACCAACCGGGGCCGGGGACAAACTACAACCGAGGTACATGCCCTTAGCGGGAACCGAACCCAGGTCTCTCTGGACCACAGGCCAACGCTCTAACCGCCGAGCCAAACCGGCCAGGGCCTGATTTTTATTTCTTAAAGACCCAATGTGTGCCAGGCCTTGTGGCACAAGTATAGCTATGGGAGACAGAGTTGCATTCTGATTCCAGCTCAGCCACTGCCCGGCTGTGATTAGAGAAACCAAGGGAGACATCGGGCTAGATGGACCTCCAGCAGAGCCCTCCCATCAGGTCTCATGGGACAGACCCAGCAATCGGGATCCCATCCCATATGCCCTGGGAACTTGCCTTCCTTGGGCCCCTCCCTGGCTTCCACAAACTCTGCAGTGAACACAGGCTCAAGTTAGAAACACTTAGCAGGGTAACCTGGAGGAGAGGCAGCATCTTTGCATATAAGCAGAAATAATTTTTATTTCCTTTCCACTGTTCGATAGGGATCGAACCTGCAACCCAGATACAAGCCCTTGATTGGGAATCAAACCTTCAGCCCTTTGGTCCACAGGCCAATGATCTAACCAGTGAGCAACCAGCCAGGCCCTATACAGTATTTTTAAAAATTCTAACACGAATGGGTAAGAGAAAAATCTGCCCCCTGAAACCTTAATCTATACTACAAATGTATATATATACCAAATGATCAGATGTAGGAAGACACACACATCTCTAAAAGTCTGTGACTGGCCTTGTTGGTAGGAGCATGCATTTTTTTCCCATATGCTCATCTGAATTTTCAGATTTTCTATGACAAGCACATATTACTATTCTAATTTAAAAATCTATATTTAGCCCTGGCCAGTTTGGCTTAGTGGTTAGAGTGTTGGCCTGCAGACCAATGAGTCGTGGGTTCGATTCCAGTCAAGGACATGAACCTGGGTTCTATTATTTTTTTTATTTTTATTTTTTATCCTCACCCGAGGATATTTTTCCATTTTTTGTACAGATAGAGTGGGAGGGAGAGAGAGAGAGTAAGGGAGAGAGAGAGAGAAACATCGACGTGAAGGGACACATAGAGTGGCTGCCACCCGCACGACCAACCAGGGCCGGGGACAAACTGCAACCGAAGTACATGCCCTTAGCGGGAACCGAACCCGGGTCTCTCCAGACCGCAGGCCGACGCTCTAACCGCTGAGCCAAACTGGCCAGGGCTGAACCTGGGTTGTGGTTCTCCCTAGGCCTAGTCAGGGTCGTGCGGGAGACAGCCAGTCGATGTGTCCCTCTCACGGCGATGTTTCTCTCTCTCTCCTTCTCTATCTGAAGATAAATGGAAAAAGATCATCAGGTGAGGATTATTAAAAAAAAAATCTATATTCAAACTTTTTGAAGACTAACATACACACACTAATATAAAACGTCAGCTAAAATGAGAATGAATAGTCTGTTGTTTAGGACTATCTCTAAACCCTTCAAGGAGTCTCATAAGTTAAGGTCATTATTAATGAATAGATTAACTTTAACCACATTTCAGACTGTCTCAAAAAATGTTATCCGTGTCAGAATGAAATGGAAGCCTTTCAGAGAGAAGGAACTTCCCACCACAATGGCAGGTCGCCTTCCTGGGAGCAGGCCCTCCCTGTCCCCTCTCCCCCTGCAGGGCTGGTGTCTGTTGTTTGCCGGGTGAACTGGCTGAAGCAGGTCTAGGTCTACCCTGTCTTTGAACGAGAGTAGCAACTTAAGTAAGATTTTTTTTTTTTTTATGTGCAAACACTAATTTATGTACAAACACTTTACAAATATGCTTTTTTTTTTTTTTTTATCCTCACCTGAGGATATTTTTCCATTTTTTGTTCAGATAGAGTGGGAGGGAGAGAGAGGAAAGGAGAGAGAGAGAAACATCGATGTGAAAGGGACACATCGAGTGGCTGCCACCCGCACGACCAACCAGGGCCGGGGACAAACTGCAACCGAAGTACGTGCCCTTAGTGGGAACCGAACCCGGGTCTCTCCGGACCGCAGGCCGACACTCTAACCGCTGAGCCAAACTGGCCAGGGCTACAAATATGCTTAGATGACAGTGCTCATTACTCTCTATGTGTGGGTCCATTCATTTCCTCACCAGGTGCAAGTGGAGGGAACAGCCTGGGGCATGGGCCAGAGCTGGTCATCAGGCCCTGGGTGGGATTCCAGCCGCGGCCCCGCCCTCAGCCCTCTCGCAGCCCCCACGCCAGGCTGCCTTCCTGGCCAGTGAGTCACCTGTACAGCACACACTGAATGCTTCAGTGTCATCAGGGGAGGTCAGATCCCAGCAGCCTCAGTCTGAGTCTGCAGCTGGAATAAGCCACAGTCCAGCCTGCCCCCCCAAAGCATCTCTGAGCTGCCGACAGCCTTTCCCAGAAGCTTGCTGCTGGGAGAGGCCCTTGGCCTGGCTTTGACCAATTCAAGGAATTTGAAAACCTTAGTTATCTGAGATCCACTTTATAGCTGACTAAGTAAGCGGGATGAGAGGATGCAGGCACTAGACAGAAGGAGGGCTACTCAGAAGAAATGACAGCTGACAGCTGTAATCAGGAAGAAGAAGAAAGCAAGTCAGGCTCGCTGCCACTAGGAAAGCAGAGCCCCTCTGTGCAGCCATTGGGTAGAGAAGCAAGCACCAGGGGCAGAGCACCAGAGAGGAGGTCGTCACATGGTGCCCTGGGTTCGGACACCACCACCACCACATGGTGTTCCCCATGCCCTGGGAAGAGAGACATTAAAGTTTTACAATGTTGTCATGGAAAGCTTCAAAATGAAAACATTTGGACTTTAAAGGAGTAAGGCTCAGTTATTTAAAAACATACCCCAAATTGGAAAACATGAAACCTCTTCTCGTACCCCCTGCTGACAGTGGCTATGGCACGGACCACAACACTTTCTGCACCTGTTCTTGGCAGCTGCCAGTTTTTCGGGAATGGTTTTCCGACAACCATGTGTAATTCAGCACTTGCCTAATCGAAACCAATTTCCCTACAGAAATGAATGTAAAATAGAATTTTCATTTGTTTCAAATTAGGACCATAAAGATACACTGTGTTAATATGTTTGTGTCCCTAGCCAGTTTGGCTCAGTTGTTGGAGTGTCGGTCCACAGACCAGAGAGACACATGTTCGGTTCCTGCTAAGGGCATGTACCTCGGTTGCAGTTTGTCCCCGGCCCCGGTTGGGGTCATGTGGGTGGCAACCAGTTGATGTTTCACATCAATGTTTCTCTCTCTCTCTTCCACCCTTTCTCCCTCCCACTCTATCTGAAGATAAATGCAAAAATGTCCTCAGGTGAGGATAAAAAAATACATAAATATATGTTTGTGTCATTTAATTTCACATAAAATTCTGTGCTGAATTTTAACCTGGGTCCTTTCTTATGAAAGAGTTTGTTTGCTTGTTTTTCTGTGCCTTCCACATTCCACTTTTGTTTGATGATAAAATTGAGACTCAGCTCAATTTGTTAGATGGCCCATGCGGCCACCGGTGCGGTGTCTCCTTAAAAGGGAGTTTTAGAAAGAGAAAATGAAATCATATTGTTTTTTCGTGTGGGTTGAGATCAAACACCCACCAAAAGCCCTTGGGTCAGTTTCTTAGTAAATGAAAAATAATTCTTTATCATTTTCCAGCTCCTAGCATTTAACTGCCTACCTCTGACAAATATGTGGTGTGTGTGCACCCTAGTGATTTATCAAAGTCATAAACTGGCATTTAAAGTTTATTTCCAACCACATTGGAAAGCACACAGAAAGAGACCTGAATTTGCACCCTTAACAAACGCAGCTGCAGAAGCACCTGGCTCCCGCGTGTG